AAAAAAAAAAAAAAAAAAAAGTCAGGGCCTAATCTGACATGATGATTTGGGTCTTCTTTTTTCTCTGTAAGGCTCAGGGTCTCTTGAATAATTCCTAGGTCCTTAATCTACTTTGAGTTGAATTTTCTGCATGGTGAGACAGGTTTATTTTCATTTTGCTGCATTTGGATTTCCAGTTCTCTCTTACCATTTGTTGAAGAGACTGTCTTTAATCCAATGTATGTTTTTGGCGCCTTTGTCCTGTATCTCATATAACTTTGTTCAGTTATCTCATATAACTGTATTTATGTGAATTTGACTTTGTGTCTTCTGTTCTCTGCCATTGGTCTACATGTCTATTTTGGTGCCAATACCATGATGTTTTTATTACTAGAACTTTGTAGTATATTTTAAGTACTGGTATTGTGATGCCTCCTCCTTTACTCTTGTTGCTGAGGATTGCTTTGGCAATTTTGGTTCTCTTCTTTTTCTAAATGAATTTCATGATTGCTTTCTCTATTTCTATAAGGGATGGTGATGGGATTTTAATTGGAATCACATTGAATCTGTATAGCATGTTGGGTAGTATGGCCATTTTGACAATATTCATTTTGCCTATCCAAGAGCATGAAAGATCTTTCCAACTTCTAAGGTCTTCTTCAATTTCTTTCTTTAATGTTCTGTAGTTTTCATTGTAGAGGTCTTTCATCTCTTTTATTGATTCCCAAGCATTTTATTTATTTATTTATTTTTTGAGGCTCTTGTGAATGGGGTAGTTTTCCTAATTTCTCTTTCAGAGGATTCATCACTGATATATAGAAATGCATTTGATTTATGGGTATTGATTTTATATTCTGCTACTTTACTGAATTTATTAATTAATTCTAAAAGTTTTTTGGTAGAGTTTTGGATCCTCTAAATATAGAATCATGTCATCAGCAAATAATAATTTGAGTTCTTCTTTTCCTATTTGTGTTTTAAACTTTGTATGCACTTTCTCAGTACTGCTGCCATTCTACTTCACAAGAGCCAAAATTTAAAACCAATTGGCCAAGCAGTGAAAACATCTGCTGATATGGACTAAAACCTAGAATGAAACTCATTTATAGTGCTTCAGTTTTAATAAAAGATGGAACTTGTTAGAGCTTTAGAAGATATACACAAACAACAATGAAAGGATTTTTTCAATTGAGTTTATTGAATTTGAGTATATTATGAAGAAAGAGACAATAGGACTTGCATCTGAAAAAGTTTCCATATATTTTGAATTAATAAAGCTCACTTATTTTTTTAAATAGATCTTATAGTGTATTTTTAAGGTATACTACATGGCACATAACTAAGTCTCTCAAACACACACACCGAGTCTCAAATGGTTAATACAGTTGAAATTAATATTTCTATCAGCTTATCTAACCAATACATTTTTCTCCCATGCCAACAACAGCTATAATTCACTTATTTGACCCAAATTCTCAATATGGGGATGGGTATTTATAGTGGTTAAAGCGCTTGCTCAACATGCACAAGGCCCTGACTTGGTCCCCAGCACCACAAAAGCAAAAACAAAACAAATTTCTAATAAAATAGAAAGAAATCCCAAATATACTACTACACTATTATGAACTATAGTACTCATGTTGTATAGTGGGTCTTACACTTGTTCATCCTATGGAGTTGCTGCTTTGTATCTCATTTTCTTAAGAGACCCATAGTGTACATGTGTGTTCTGGGAGTTGGATTTACTTAGGTTGAAAGTTACAATTAGAAATTCTTTATTTTGTTTTTTAGGTGCTGGTGAATCAGGAAAAAGTACAATAGTGAAGCAGATGAAGTAAGTAGATTTAAAACATGGAAATTTTTTTTTATGTTTTAAGTATACCCTTCATCAAAGAAAGTGCTTTTTCTTTGCTTTCATTTCATTAGAATTATCCATGAAGCTGGCTACTCAGAGGAGGAATGTAAGCAGTACAGAGCAGTGGTCTACAGTAACACCATCCAGTCGATCATTGCCATCATTAGGGCCATGGGGCGGTTGAAGATAGACTTTGGTGACTCGGCTCGGGCGGTAAGTTATTTTATTGCAGTAGGCTTGATAAGTAAAAAGAATAACTTGTTAACTAATCAGGACTCTTTTATACAAGGAGTCAAAAGGATAGACGTGAGTCAGGAACTTTAGAAGTGAGTGAAATGAACATACACAGTATAGTTTATTCTCTCCTTCATGGTTACACTTACCTTATCCATCAGGTAATTGGGATAATTCAATAATTATTATTGATGTAATACTTTCTATATAACATGTATCAAGTACCTCTGTTTTTGTATTCATTGGTTTTCTATTACTGTAAAAAATACCTGGTGTAATCAACTTAAAAGGAGAACATGTCTCTTTTGCCTCACAGTTTCAGAGATTTTAGCCCTTGTATGATTGGCCTGTTGCTTTGGGCCTATAGTGAGGAAATACATCGTGGTGGTAGCAGGTAGCCAAGGAAGCTACTCACCTCTTGGCAGCCAAGAAGTGAAAAGAGAGAGAAGAAAAGATCAGTCTTCCATGATCCTATTTAAGGGCGTGCCTCCAGTAACCTAAGACCTCCCATTAGGCCCTACCTCCCAATTGTTCCACCACCTCCAAATAGCCCCATGGGCAGGGTTCCAGGCCTTAAGCACATGTGGCTTTAGGGGACATTTCAGATACAATCTGTAGCAGTCCCCATAACAATATTTTTGTAGTTAATACATTGTAAACTGCTTACACTAACACTATTTAAAATCTGTTCTTATAATTTAGAATTCTGAAATGACCTACTTATTCGTATTCATGCCCAGACTGCAAAGAAATCTAATCTTGAATAATGAAAACAGTGCAAAAGTTTGCTTATCTTTGCAATAGGAAAGTATTGGCCACTAAAAAACATGTATCAAATTTAAGAGCTAAAGCGGACCTTTGAAGACAAGCTAGTTTCACTCCTTTATTTTCCTAGTAAAGAAAAACTGAAACCTAGAAAATATTACAATCTAGAATGATCAAGGCTCTGTGCCTGTGCTTCTTTCTTTGACCCAGTAATTTGTTTTCAGTTTGATTCAAAGCAATATTGGTTGGTACTGTCCACAAAACATTGTTTTTCCCCAGCTCCCATTTGATTGTTTGCTATTTGAGTACTTTACTGATTCTTTTTTAATAACTGTTATAAAACTTGATGAAAAACCTTTAACTGAAGCTTAGCTCTTTTTTTGCACAAAGTATGTATATTATTAATAATACTGTGCTGCTTTTTAATAGTTCTTTTATCTTTTTATGTTGTGTGTGTGCGCACACGAGCACACACATACGTCTCCTTACTAATACCATGAAGATTTTCTGCATAGAGACTATAACTTTCTGTCTTTCAGTTTGTTGTTATTGTTGTTTACTTTTAACATCCAGGGAAATTCATGCTTAATAAGAAAGGAAAATGAATAAAACCCATATTAGGAAATATAGGTTAGAGAAATCTAAAATAAACCGGGCTTGATTATGAGTTACTTTAAAATTTTCTTATAAATTACTGTTTTTCCTTTTAAACAAAAATTTTAAAGGCTTTAGCATGTTAATTAAAATTTTCATGTAGATTTTAAGATCCTTTTTAAGACCAAATTTTATTTTTTGAAATTTATGACATTGTCGTTAGATATGTATACATAGTAATATTGGTACTATAATGAAATAAATTAACTTACATATCATCTCACACTGAGTGTGTGTTGGGGGTGGGGGAGGCATCTACAATCTTGTTTAACAAAAATCCCTTTCAGTTTAATTAGCTATACTCCTCATGTTGTCAAAAAGAAAGAGATAACAGATTTTGATGAGAATGTGGAAAAGAGGGAACCCTAGTGCACTCTTGGTAAGAATGCATATTGACTCATTCATTATGAAAACAGTAGGAAGTTTCCAAAGAAATTAAAAATAAAATTATGATCCATTTATCACTCTTCTGGGTATAAACTAAAAGGAGGCAAAATAACCACTTGATTATGGTATCTGCAGTTCTGTGTTCATTGCATTGTTTATTCAAAATAGCCAAGGTAGGGAAACAACCTGTCAGTGGACAAATAGGTAAAGAGAATGTGATGTGTGTACACATGTGGGGAGACTCACTCGAGCACACACACACACACACACACACACACACACACACACACACACACAAACACACAATGGAATATTGTTCAGACTCCGAAAAGTTTTTTCCTCAACATGAATGAATCTGAAGGGTATTATTTAGTGAAATAAAGCTGGATACAGATAAAAATTTTGCCTGATTTCATTTACATGTAGAACTAAAACCAAGAAAAGTCATCTGTGCAGAATTAGAGAATAAAACAATGATCACCAGGGGCTGGGTGGTGGGGTGCAAGGGAAGGAGGAGACATAGGTCAAAGGGGACAAAGTAGGAGATGTGTAGGATGAAGGAATCTGGAGATACAAGGTACAATAGAGGACTGCAGGTCATTTAAAATAATGTATTCATTTATAATTTTTCATTCAACACATGTCCAGTAAACATGTGTTGAATGAACAAATGATAAGTGGATAAATTACAGATTGAGTAGTAGGGCAGTACATTGAATAATGTATCAGTATTCTGGACATATATTTCAAAAAAAATTCAGCAGAATTATGATTTATTAAAATAATCTTAAAATTTTAGAAATGTTAATCACACTTAACTTTTTAATCTTTATGTAAAAGGAGTACATATAAGGACTCTACTCTTAGATTAAGGAGAAAGAATTAATAAAATTTATACCAATTCCAGTTCCAATTATGGTATTTAAAACATTTTGTCAATAATGTATGTAGTATTCTGCATTCAAATCTTGTATGTGGCTATGAAAAAAAGATTTGTACCCTATAAGGTGGGAGCTAATGAAGGTTCAGTGCAAGGGCACTCTACCACTGAGCTGCATCACCAGTCCTTTTTTCCTTTTTTTTTGAGACAAGAGTTCTACTAAGTTGCCCAGTCTTGCTTTGAATTTGTAATCCTCTGACTCAGTTGAGTAGCTGGTTTATAGGTGTGTGCCACTATGCCTGGCTAGTGCAAGCAACTTTGAAAGAGGATTTTTTTTCATATTATTCTCTCAAGGAATATTATTTTCTTACACCTCCATCACCTTTTTAAAAAGTTAATTTCAGCTTAGTTTCAGGAATGACCAGGAATAATCCCTTACCATACCATGATACCTCACCATAAGCCTTTTCTTATCTTTTCTTTTTTAGTTGGTTTACCTGAGGTTTTGGAATCTAATATGGTCTGCTTTGCATCTGTTTCTTCCTCCTCTCAGACCTTACTTCTGTTGGCCTTTGTGGTCCCTATTAACTCATCCACACAGACACCTATCCTCACACTGTTTGTGATTTGACTCTTCCCTGTTGGGTTGCCTTGCCTTTACACACCTCTGAAGAACCACTAGGCCCTCAAAGTTATGTTCAGGGATGTGTAGATGGATTCACTTTGGACCGGAGGTGGGAAGGGAAGTTTGAGCTGGGTATTGAATCAGGAGTAAATAAGGAAAAAGCATTTAGCAAATAAGAAACAGTTTATTCACAGGCAGTCTGAATATATTCCTGTTTCTGAAGTATCAGTTCCTAAGTTGAAGGATAATCAGATATTGAATTCTGGTCAGTGCCATAGATTTGCTTTACAACCTTCTGCATTGTAACAGCTGTTTCTCCTGTTAACCTCTCTTAGTCTTCTTACATTGTTCTGTTAAATTGCTTGTCCTTTTCAAGTATGTGTGTGTGTGTGTGTGTGTGTGTGTGTGTGTGTGTATGGCAAATATTTTTTCCCGTGTTTATGAAAAACTTCTTGTTAGAGACCTGGGGTTTTATTTGTTTTTGTTTTTCAATCAATTCTAACTTCTGTGTTCCGTCTTCATAGAAAGATAGTCTTCATGTTACAATTATTTTTAAATTTTCATATTTTTCTAGAATGCCTAGTTTTGTTTTTTATATATATTGTTTTGTACACCTCCATTGGAATTGATTCTTGCCAGTAGCCATTTTGAAAATAATCATCCCATTTAGGTAAAAATGCTGCTTTAACTTTTGATTTGAACACCTTTTTTTCCCTACTGATAATTTGTTTTTTATTTACCCATCCAACTACTAGCTAAGTTAATTAACCTCTCTAAGCATGTTTCATTAGAAGAGAAATAATGATAACATCTAATTTGCAGGGTTGTTAGGAACAGACAAAAAGAATATAAAGTGTTTAACACATTCTTTGATCATAATAGATGCCCAATAAAATGTTTGTTGGTTGTTTTATTATTTACAAGTTTTATACAGTCATTATGGTCAGAATCACATTATTTTGATTTCTGTTGCTTCATAGGGTTAATTGGCAGCTAGCAGGTAAAAATCACCTCATTCTGTTGTTGTTTTTAACCAGATATGCTTTTAAGCATTTCTCTTCCATGTGAACTTGAGAATGAATTCTCCTCAACTCTCTTGAAAACAAAACATTTTAAAAACCCAGTTGATATTTCGATTGGAATTACATCTTAAATGTAGAGTGATTTGGTGAGAATTGGCTACAAAGGTGTAAAATTTTAAGAAATAATGATGACTAATGTGCTATGGTTTGCATCATATTTGGCAGTTAGGAGATTTGCAAAGCAGATTATACATTAGTTATTTAAAATGACAGAAAACAGTTTTTCAAGGCTGGCATAGAGCAATCAAATTTTATACCCAATGTCTTTTTACAAATCCCTTGAAATGAGGGTGGTTCTTTTGTGAATGATAACATATTGACAACATACTCTGTTATATTTCTAATATTGTTAAGCTGGAGGGTCATTAGTGTGCCTCAGGTACTGGTTACTTAGAACACTGTTGCACAAAATGTGGTCAATGGACCAGTGCCTGTCCCAAGAATGTGTATAAAATGAGAACAGAATAAGGATAAGTATGTATATGGATTTATAGAAATTGACAGTTATATATAATATAGATTTATATATAAATAGCATTCAAATATAAATATATAAACATACAAAATATAAAAATGTATATAGATT